ACCTTTCTATCGCATGCTTGAATTACATTTGTGCATGTTAGACTTGAGATCAGCCTATTATCATTTCAAAGCAACCCCCATGAAACAAACATAGGAGCATCAGTAGCTCTACAATTGCATCAACCAAGTTTACAAGAAGTGGGTTTTAATCAGCTAAGTAATAACCTACAAGGATCATTAAAAATGTCATATTTTATGAACTTGAGTTTTGCACTAGTAATAATAGATCAGTAATCAAATGGAGGGCTTAGGTACCACAGATGAGGGTTGTGTAATATGATCTAGAAAAAGAGTCCCCCCCCCCATAGATGATACGAGCTGGGGAGCCTGCGTGGCACAACTTGCCCATTAGTAAAGGACACTACATTTATTCATTTTTTTACCAGGACTTCTGATGGTACAGTTTGGTCCTCTAGGTTCTCAGTTGTGGCTCACTATAAACAGGCTCAAGTCCACTGGCACCTTTAAGACCAACAAAGTTTAATTCTGTGTATAATCGTTTGTGTGCATGCTCAGTTTGAAAGTTTATATGCAGAATTAAACTTTGTTGGTCTTAAAGGTGCCAGTGGATTCAAACTTTTCTACTGCTTCAAACCAACACGGCTACCCACCTGAATCTACCACCTGAACCTATAAATAGGCTTCTGAACACCCATCCAAATGGAAATTTGGTATATTCTCAAAAAATCTCAGCTTTCATTTAATACCTTCTGGTCGTGGAAGAATACCAAGAAATGTATACCGTATTAAATCAAAAGACAACCCTGAATGTAAGATGAAACCCCCTAAAAATGTTATACATCTCCCAAAATTTATTACTGGACATAACAACTGGCATGTGAATATAAGATGATCCTCTCTCTTTTTCTGGACAGCATATCTGGGGGGGGGGGGGAAACAGTCCTGCATTTGAGTAAATACAGTCGTTCATTAGAAGTCAAGCAGTTTCCAGTAGTCAAAGGGTGATGTTTTGATAAAATTCCAAAGCTATTCTGCTTTTACAGAATTTATCACGTTTTTATCTCCCTCTTCCTCCAAGGAAGTCAGGGAAGCATCTAAGATTTCCTATACTTTACCCATGTGAGTTTAGATCACTCTGAGCACATATAAGCTAAAAGACTTGGAAAAGGCTAAAAGACTTGGAAAAAAGGCTAAAAGACTTGGAAAAAGAAAGTTTAGAGAAAGAAATTACAGTTCAAGAAATAGATGAGGTAATAAAGGGTTTGAAAACTGGCAAGTCCCTGGGTTTAGATGGATTTACAGCAGAATTTTATAAGGAAATGAAAAGAATATTAATTCCTGAACTACAGATAATGTTTAACACTATATTAAAGGGAGAAAGGCCCCTAATACCTGGAGGACAGTGGAAATAACTTTAATATTGAAACCCAGAAAGATTCTCAAGAAGTGGGTTCATATAGACCAATAAGTCTATTAAATCAGGATTACAAAATTTTCACTAAAATAATGGCAAACAGACTTAAAAACGTAATCCCTCACATAATAAAAGAAGATCAGTATGGGTTTGTGAAAGGTAGAAGTATAGCACATCCTATAAGAAATATACTAAATGTATTATGCCATAGTCAGTTTAAGAAAATAGGATTACTTAAATTGGATGTATATAAAGCGTTTGACACATTGTCCCATGAATTTCTGTGGTCCATTATGTCGAAATATGAGATAGGCCAATCATTTATAAAAACAATTCAGGAAATTTATAGACATGGTACAGCGGTAGTCAAGGTGAATAATGAACACACTGAACAATTCTCAATCTCAAGGGGAGTAAGACAGGGATGTCCTCTCTCACCAGCTTTATTCATAATGGCAATGGAATAACTGGCCGAAAGAATTAGAAACTCAGGCAGAATAGAAGGATGCAGGATGGGTAAAGAAGAGATGAAAATTAACCTATTTGCAGATGACATAATTATAATTGTGTCCAACCCTAAAGAGGGAATTAAAGAATTGAAAGTTACATTAGAAGATTTTGAAGATACATTAGAAGATTTTGAAGCGTTATCAGGATTAAGAATTAATATAGGGAAATCAGAAAAAGCTATAATCTTGCTTTGGCACTTTGTGTTTTAACCTTCATCAGTAGTTGTTAAAAGATTTATAAAATAATAAAAAACACATGATGGAGTACAAGCTTTTATCTTGGAATGTTAATGGACTGAATTCATCTAACAAAAGAAATAGAATCAAGCATTGGATTTCAAAACAGAAGTGTAATTTGATTTGTCTACAAGAAACCCATGTCAAAAAGCAAGATGCTAAATATTTGATAAACAAAAAGTTGGGAGAAGAATTTTACTCTCTGGCCAGTAATAAGAAAAAAGGAGTAGTAATCTATGCAAGAAAAGAGTTACAACCAAAAGAAATTTTTGCAGACTCTGAAGGGAGATTTGTGGCTGTGGAGGTGGCAATACAACAAAAGAAAACTTTGATTGTTAACGTTTATGCCCCAAACGGAGCTAAGGAAAAATTCTTTAAAGACTTAGCAGGACAATTACAACCTTTAAGTTATGATCACCTAATACTGGCCAGAGACTTTAATGTCCCAGTAGACAACAAAATGGACAGGCAATCGATGAGGGGAGACGAAAAAAGCGGAAAATTACCAAAAGTGTTTTTTTGAATTAATGAAACAAGAGAAATTAATGAAAAAAACTAAAAGAGGAATAGCAGGAGTAATATATAAGAAAATGATCTCAGATAAAGAAGGAATAATAGATCACCTTCAAGGAAAATGGAGTACAGAAACTTTAATAACAGAACAAAAAGCAAAAAAATTAATGGAAGGAATTAAGGGAATAAAAATACATAAGTTTAGGGAAATGGAACTAAAATTCTACACCAAATGGTACAGAACCCCAGCCACCTTAGCTAACATGTTTCCAGGACTAAGCCCAAACTGTTGGCATTGTAAAAGTGCAAAAGGATGGTACTCCCACATGTGATGGGAATGCCACGAGGCTAAAAAATTATGGAAAATTATATTGAGAGTAATAGATGAGCTTTTTCAGGTAAAGCTGAATATAGATTTTGAAACGATGATGATGAGCACTCTAGGTAATGAGACAATAGAGAAAAAGAACCAAGATTTACTGAAAGCAATGATACTAGCCGGTAAAGCAGTGATAATAGGGTGGAAAGATAAAAGCAAATGGACAGAAAGAACATGGAATAATTTATCTGTTTGAATTTGTCCAGTCAGATATAATAGCTACAATCAACCAGGATCTGCCATGGGAAGTCAGGACATCGCAGATCAAGGGAAAATTGTCCCTTTATTTGAACTGGATAAAAGAGGAACAGAAAGAAGACGTTCAGTGGAAGCTACAAGTTCTGTGCTCCTGGCTGAAAGAAGGTTAGACTGAGGGGGGAGGGACTAGGGAGAAAATGTTAAAAATACCCAAAATGAAACAATGGAACAATGCTAATGTACACTTAAACTAGCAAATAAAAATTATTATTATTAAAAAAAGATCAAACTGAGCATATGTGACTGAGACTGCAATCCTAATCAGAGTTACACCTTTCTAGGACCAATGACTTAAACAGACATAGAAGGGTGTAACTGTGCTTTGGATGGCACAGATAACAAGCTTCAAGATGAGAGTGGGGTTTTGAACCCCAGTTTCCTTGCCTTAGTTTGCAATAGAAGCAGGATTGCAAATGTGTTCAATGGATTCAAAGTTTTAAAAAAATGTGTGTGGGGGTGTTTCTCCTTGGTTAATTTAGATTATTTCTCTGCTCTGCCCTGACTATCCCTGTGTCCAGTGGAAGAAAAGAGAACCTGCCTTGGTGCAGCAACTACACAAAACAGTATGCAAGTCTCTCCATTTCCAGATGTCTATGAGGCCAAGCTTGCCCCACTGGCTTAAATCTTACAACTGACATGGGGGGGGGATTAGTTGCTAGGAAGGGCTTGTCAGAGTAAAGAGGCATAAATTACTGGGATTGGATTAAAGTTGCTGGTAAGATCTGTGAACTGCACTAAATAGTTCTCAAACAGATGTGAGAACTGAGTATGAGTGGACTTTGTTCGCAAGTCTGTTTGTTAACTTATGTATTTGTATGCTAATTTGCTGCTATTCACAGATCTTACCAAGTGCTTTAATCCAATCTCAGCTATAATTGCCCAGTTACTTAGGTATCTTGACTCTAACTAGCCCTTCCTGGCAACTAACCCCCCATACCAATATGTAATGAACGAGGACGTCTTGTTTCACTATATCTGAAGAAGAAGAAGAGAAGAGTTTGGATTTATACCCCACCCTTTACTACCCAAAGCTGTCTCAGAGCGGCTTACAAACTCCTTTCCCTTCCTCTCCCCACAACAGACACCCTGTGACTGTTCCCTCTAAGCTGTGGAGTCTTGTGAGCAAAAATTCTACTTTGTGAGCGACTGGCATTAAAGTTCTGAGCAAGTGATTTGGCTACTGCATCAATTAGTTCGCTCTGGAACCCTCCTTCCTGAGCTAAGACAAAAATATGTGAGCTGGAGGCTAAAAAACTGTGAGCTAGCTCACACCAACTAAGCTTAGAGGGAACACTGCCTGTGAGGTAGGTGGGGCTGAGAGAGCTCTGACAGAAACTGCTCTTTTTCAAGAACAGCTCTTATCAGAACTACGGCTTGCCCAAGGTCATCCAGCCAGATGCAAGTGGAGGAGTGGGGAATCAAACCCGGTTCTCCCAGATTAGAGTCTGCACTCCTAACCACTACACCAAACTGGCACCAAAGAAGCGTGCATGCACACGAAAGCTTCTACCTTGAATAAAACTTTGTTGGTCTTAAAGGTGCCTCTGGACTCCAACTTTGTTCTGCTGCTTCAGAACAACATCTAACTGACATGTGTTAATTAACTCAGCCTGAAGAGTACACAATATATCATATTTAGAATGTAATCAGCAGCAAGAAAACAGAACAGGGTATTGAAATTTCTGTGAGACTGAACACTTGGGAAAAAACCAAGAGTGCCAAGCTGTACCTGTAATTTTGTATCCATAAGCGGCCAATTGTCCAGCCATGTATTCTCCATCTGAATTATTATGAGAACAGCCCCATGTACGTATCCAGATTTTTTGTATACCAGGAATAACACTGTAAAACAGAGACAGGCAATTAAATGAGATACGAGAGAACACAGTTCTGGAAGCAGGAGAAAGAAAGGGGTGGTTTGTGAAAATGTTAATAACCTGAAAGCAATAAACCTAGCAAGAAAACGGGCCTGTGACTTTCCAAAAAGTGGGAGACAGGTGATAACCCCTAAATTCCTTACTTGGAAGGGGCAGAGGTAGAAATGGAGGAGAAGGAGGTAGGAATTCAGTTTTACCACAATTAGTTTTCATCTCTCAGCTTAGAAGTAACCACTTTTTAAAGAAAACAAACCTGTCACTTGGAGGATCATCATCAGCTTCTACATTCTTTTGTGAATTGCGTTTGCGCACTTTAGGAATAATGTCTGCTTTCCTGAAACGCCAATCATGAGGCTTTGGGTCTTGCGCTGACACAATATCTTCAATATCTTCAAGAAGAGAATCACAGACAGCAGGCATTTTCTACATAGAGTAAAAGACATCACATGAGAAACAATTCCATCAGTGCTCACCACCACAGTCAAAACATTCAACCCAGAATGATCATGCACATCTATTTGATAATAAAGTATATGCAAGCTTCAGCTCAAGCCCTGATTTAACTCACTTTTCTAAAATGCCACTCAAATGACTATAGAAATCACTCCAAATGCTGAAGTGACTCACAGTAGCATCCTAAGTTAGAGTCATGCCTTCTAAGACGTCAATGACTTTGAAGGGAACAGCTGTTTAGGATGGCACTATCCAGACTGAATCAAAACTTTTACACAGCAGCACAAAAGTTACATATCCAAGCTTTAAATAAGAATAGGAGTAAGGTATTTCAGTAGCAAGACTGAACTTACGGAGACAGAGAGGGGAAAAGATGTAAATAGTTCAATTAAAGTGTCAACCCAGTGTGCTGCAGCAGTGAAAAAGGCAAACTCTATGTTGGGGATTATTAGGAAAGGGACTGAACATAAAACGGCTGATATTATAATGCCCCTGTATAGATCTACAGAGCCAGAAAATGAGAGTATGAGGAAAGGCTGAAGATTGTGCAATTTTTCACTTTAGAAAAGAGATGATAGCAGTTTATAAAATTATGCACAGGGTGGAGAGAGTAGACAAAAAAAACCTTTTCCTCCCTCTCCCAAAATACTAGAACTTGAGGGCATCTAGTGAAGCTGATGGGCAGTAGATTCAGGACTGACAAAAGGAAATACCACTTTACACAGCGAGTGGTTAGAATGTGGCATTCACTGCCAGAGGATGTAGTGATGGCCACAGGCACAGACCACTTTAAAAGGGGATTGGATAGATTCATGGAGGATAGGTCTATCAGTGGCTACTAGCTATGGTGACTAAAGGGAACCTCCACATACAGAGGCAGTAAACCTCTGAATACCAGTGCCAGGAGGCAATATCAGGGGAAGGCATGGGCATCTATGCCCTGTCGTTGGACCTCCAGAGGAACTAGTTGGTCTCTCTGTGAGACAGGATGTTTGACTAGATATACCACTGGTTTGATCCTGCGGGGCTGTTCTTATGTTAACCTTCATCATTTGCAGATTTTATCTGTTTACTTATGCAGAAATAAGGGCATTGAGGGCACTCTGACCCAAAAGACAAAAACAATCCTACAAAACAGCACTGAAACAGCCTTCAGACATATCAATTCAATGTTGTTATAGATCCAGCAGGAGTCCATAATTACTGGTTTATTAAAACTGCATAAGCAAATGGATTTATGATAGGGAACACCTCCAGCCTGCAGAAATCCACAAATTGTTTGGAATGTGGCAATCTGTCATCTTGAACCTGGTGATTCATAGGCTTAAATCACACAGCTGGACTTGTTGATTAAATATGTGCATAGCTTTATAAAGACAATCTTGGACACCAGTCAAATGTATGATTCTCTCGTAATAGAAATATAATGGGTTTGATCCTATGGCTGTGTGACCAGGAAGCACTCATTCAGGCAGACTGCCTGCCTTCCCCTTGCAGTCATCGCCCAAAGAGGCATTTAGACCAAAAGCCACTGGGCTCAGGTGTTTGAAGTGAGGAGAGGGGTCAGATAAAGTCACTTACACCTTTGTTCATTTTTGTTCATGGGGCCTCTATGGCCCTGGCAATGCCTTTTTGGGTGACTGCTGAACGAACACTGTGATCATGTCCATTTATCAAACTATAGAATCCAACACAATATTGTGGTTGCTTAAAAAAACAATAACATGTTGATGCAGAATGTAAAACAATGCAACAAAACATGGTGTCATTTCCAGGTCAAAAAGTTGGAACAGGCATGAACAATTCTTGGTTATATTAAGTGAGAAATCTGAGAAACAACAACCAAATTAAGACCTCCCTTCCCATCTCTAGATAGATTCTATCAGAGTTCAGGGTATCTACTAGCAGAGTACTACCACAGTAAGCCCCTCAAATATTTCAAGTATCTGCTGCCTTTGTAGGTGCCTCCAGTTTTATTAAAACAGCTAACACAAAACAGACACCCTAATAATGCAGCACGTTCAGCTATCTTCACTGCATTTTCAACATACCATGCACAAACACAGGGCCAATTTGAACAGATGTATGATGTTCCTTCTCAAAAACCCCAAAACTGAATTTGCAGTTACAAAAGCTCCTTTTCATTATTTTCTATATACACTGTAAGCTCAAATGTTTATTATGTAATGTCATACTTGAGACAGACAAGTTATATTTCAACAATCAAATCCAACGATATGAATAATTTTATGCGCTTGGGATTGGTGGGCTAGAAATGTAAATATTTAAATAAAAATGAAACCTATCTGCCGCTGTAAAACATAACCCAGGAATGCAGCTAGCTACCACAGAATATTGTTTAGAGGACTGGGATGTCAATTTACTTTGAATACTATGTAAGAAATACTAAGTAAGAACTCCAGAAATATGTCATCTTTTGCCTGTATTCTTAGGCACTTTCAACCCTATCAGACTAGGAAGGTTTAGCACACATACACATTCCGCTCAACGTGAGACTCTGTAATTAACCAGGTAGTGCACATAACAGGTGTTCCCTCAAACTAGATGACCTGCACATAATTAACCAGCTAGAAAATCAGTTGCCATACCAATGAGATGCTTGAGAGCAAAATACCCAATTAGCATAAATGCTAATTGTTTTAAAAATCTATGCCTTGGCTGCTGCATGCACACTGTCAATCAGGATCTTTGGCCATACACTCAGATTTTGTTCAAATATAAGCAGACTGTAGCAACTCTAAGTAGCTGTTTGTAATAAAACCATACCTTAATTTAAAGAGTACCTTTGGAATTACAGCATAGTCTTTTTTCCTGAAAAGAAGAGAAGGTTTTTAGTATTTATTTATATTTATTATTATTTATTTATTTTTCACATTTGTATCCCGCCCTCCCCAATGGGCTCAGGGCGGCTCACAAGGGCAAGGTAATCAGCCGTGCCATAAATAAACATCTAAAACATAATAAAAACAACTAACACTTAAAAACAACAATGGTGCTCAGTCACTGATATCATACTCCAAGATGGAATCAACACAATTCCAGGTGGTACTCCCATGAATGGCGACAGCTTATCAGATCTTCTTTACATATTCATTCCACCAGGTAGGAGCCACCACCGTAAAAGCCCTGGCCCTGGTCGCAGCTAATTTGATGTCCTTGGGGCCCTCAAATTAGCTGCAACCAGAGCCAGGGCTTTTTCGGTGGCGACTCCTACCTGGTGGAATGAGCTCCCGGGGGAGATCTGGGCCCAGGATGACCAGCAAGTTTTGGGCCCCCGACCGTAGTGCTTTTGGGGGAACATGTGGGGAAAGGCGGTCCCTTAGATAGGCTGGACCCTGACCATATAGGGCTTTATAGGTAAGAACCAGCACTTTGAAGCGGATCCGGTACGCTATCGGCAGCCAGTGCAGCACTTTCAGCACAGGCTGAATATGGTACCTCCTAGAGAGACCCATCAATAGCCTGGCTGCAGCATTCTGCACCAGCTGCAGCCTCCGGATTTGCGACAAAGGCAGCCCCATGTAGAGAGCGTTGCAGTAGTCTAGCCTCGAGGTGACAGTCGCATGGATCACTGTAATTAGTAGTAGTAATTGCATACCTTCAGTAAGCAACTGAGGTAGTGCTGGTAAAATAGGACAGGAATAATTTTAAGCCAAACATATCCCCTATGCAAAGGTGCTTAATTTACGGTTTGTTCAAACAATACTTCATACATAACTGGAGGGAGACTGAGAGAGGGCCTGAAAAATGAACTAGGCAGAGACCTGGCATTTATCCAAATACAGGATCTTTCCAAACACAGGTTCTTCTTAACCCTGCAAAATCTCTCTGGAAGATTTTCATCTTCAGGCTCACTGACAATTTTCCTCCAGGCAAAATTCCAGAAGTGAAACACAGAGTCTTAACTAGAACTCTGCTTTGTCCTGTTTGCTTTCAGTTTCAGCATACTCCTTCTGCACAGATCATGTTAACAATCGTGCAAATCAATTATGCATTTCTCAGTACTGATGTTCCCTATACTGTCTGATTCATTAATATTATTCTCCACTGTTTTATAGAGAGCTATAGGGAAGGACAGCATCAACAACATCTTTCATCGTGATCGCATTACAGAAAAGAAGGACAGCAGTGAAACTGCAGTGGTGAAATGGTGAGAGTAGCAGACTAGGGAGACCCAGGTTTGAATCTCCACTCAGCCATGAAAACTGGCTGAGTGACCTCAGGACAGTCACACAGTCAGTCTAACCCACCTCACAGGGTTGTTGTGAGAATAAAGGAAGGAGAGGACAACAATGGCCCCGGTCACACGAGCCGGATATCGCAGGGGGGAGGTGTGGCAAATTGCCCCAGCGCAGTTTGATTATACGATCAGACACGCTGGCAGCACTCCACAGGTCCTTCCCTCAGAGCCGGCATGTAAATGAGGGGCCGGAGGGGAGCAGCGCACCAGCGTGATCACATTGCAGGCATCCGGAGGCATCCGGTGGCAAACCGTTTGCCAGTACTTTGGAGGTACTACTTTTTTATTGTGCATTTTTGGCAGTAAGCCACGGGTTGGCCACGAGTGCGCTCCACTTCCCAGATGTTGGGGTGTGATTGCGCAGGGATAATCTGCCCACCACCCGTGGCTCTCCCATGGCAAATTCATGGTGTGAACGGGGCCAATGTAGACCACTTTGGGTCCCCATTGGGAAGAAAAGCAAGGTATACTTGGAAGTACATAAGGAAAGAAATTAACAGTAGCAGCCACTAGCATACTCACTACGGAATCCTAATCAGAACTAACCATTTATAAGCCAGTTGACTTCAATGTAATTAGAAGGATATTACCCTGCTTACAAGCGCACTGTCTACTTCAACTCCCCACTACGGAGGCTCTCTACTACTAAAGAGTATCTCTCAGCCTAACCTACCATCCAGGAGTTATTACGAAAATAAAACGGAGCAGGAGACAGCAATGCAGTTAACGAACCTCTCCAACTGGGGAAGACCGGCAGGTATCCGAAAAGAACGTAACAACAGAGAGCTTAAAAAGGCAACTCTGAGAATCCTGGCAAGAGACTGGGCAAGGAAGGGCACCAGAAACTAAACATCCCAACTAACCATTCCCGTCCAGTAGTAAAAGACCAGCCAAGCAACGTCTCATAACAGCAGCAACCCGCTCTTTCGCGGTCGCCCCAACCCCCCCCCCCCCCTTCCGAGACAGAATTTAGAAGCACAACACTCACCCGCAACGCCTGGCGCACTTTCCAGCTTCACGAGGCGGCCATGCGATGGCCACGCCCCTTCCACGTCACAGCTTGACGACGGCATCCCTGAGAGGACAAATCAGGTCAAGCCTTCGCTTAACGGGAAGGGAAAGCTTGGAGGCTTAAGCGTGTCTGGGCAGTAGCGTTTACGTAGGGTTATTACCCTATTTTGAAAAGCAAAAAAGAGGACGTATTTTCCGACTGACTTTTTCAGACAGAGTGATTACGATGACAAGTCTCATTTTAATTACCCCGACTCTTTAAGCTGTGAGAATTGCTACTGACTAGGAATGTTCCTGACCTTCCAACCCAAAAAGAGGACGTAGTTTTCATGTTGTTTTTTTTAAGAGCCCCAAAAATGAGGACATGTCCTCTAAAAAGAAGACATCTGATAACCCTGGTTTACTCCCTCGTCCAGACTTGCCCTTTGGAGATTTTAGTTAACAAGACGATCCAGTAGACATACAAATGGGCTTTCAAATAGGTTTTGACCAAGACCCCCAACCAAGGGTTCGAGGCAGAAGATGGGTTTCCTTGAGGATAAGAAACTGGCTAGACAATAGGAAGCAGAGAATAAGTGGACATTTCTCACAATGGAGGGAAGTAGATGGGCTCTTACACAGATTGTATTGAGAATAATGCTATTTAGTTCATCCATAAACTTTCTGGATTCCGTGTTAAGCTGTGAAGCGGCCAAGTTTATAGAGAACACCAAATTATTTAAACCAAGACTGATCAGGAGGAAGTCCAAAAAGCATTTCCAAACAGGGCAAAAAAAGGATCAATGTAAGTAACTGCAAAATGATGCACACTGGGCCAAGAAAAAACCCCTCCATTTTGTCTGTATGCAGACAGGGGTCAAAAACCTTGAGAAAACTGTTGACCCTGTGTATCAGGTTTTTTAAAAAAGGCAAATTCTATGCCGGGGATTGTTAGGAAAACAGCAGGTGTTAAATACCCCTATACAGCTCTGAAGTGTAAGATTCTTAGTGTAAAGATGGTCTTGACCCCTCTTATTTACAGGACCGCCTCTCCCCCTATGCTCCACCATGACAACTCTGCTCATGTCAGCAGGGGCTTCTGCAGGTAGCCCGCCTGCAAACGAGCAAAATCAACTGCCTGCATACATGCTTATTATAAATAGGATCCTATTTATGTGATTCCTATATCCCTTAATGTGTCATGTTAATACTTATGCTATGCTTCTGTTTCTTTCTGGTGGTTCCAGACTTCTAATCTCCTAATACATTAGGTGTTGAATGTCCCATTTTGTCGATTGTGCTAATGTAACCCATGCAGTTTTGTAGCTGGGTTACACTATGTGTAATCCTCCTTGAGTCCCCATGAGAAAGGTGGTCTATATAAATAACATAAATAAAAAGATAATTCATGCCATAGTATTCCCCATTAAGATGCATTAGTCTGAAAACTGGAAAATGAAGAAAACTGACAGGAAGAAAGTGGATTTATCTGAAATGTGGTGTTGGAGGAGAGTTTTATGGATACCGTGGACTGCCAAAAAGCCAAGTGGGTTCTACATCAAAGCAAGCCTGAGCTCTCCCTGTAAGCGAAAATGACAAACTGAGGCTATCATACATGGCCACAAGCATGAGAAAATAAGACTCACTGGAAAAGAAAATAATGCTGGGAAAAGCTGAAGACAGGAGGAAAAGAGGAAGAGTCAATATAAAATGGATTGACTCAGTCAAGGAAGCCATGGCCCTCAGCTTGCAGAACCTGAGCAAGGCTGCTAATGATAGGATGTATTGGAGGTCATTAATACAACAGGGTTGACATTAAGTCAGAAGCAACTGGACAGCACTTAACACAGAGAGATATAAGCTCTATGGAACAGGGCATATAATTCTGGTAACTGTATCTTAAATTCCATTGAAGAACTCAGAAAGGTGCAGAAATGGGAAGTCCAGATGATTAACAAGTTAGAGCATCTTCATTACAAGAAAAGTCTAAAGAGTTTGGAGTCTTTATTTCTGATAAAAAGACAAAAGGGGGGAGGGGAACAGATAGAAGTTTATAAAATTATGCATTAAATGGAAAAACATTGAGAGAATGTTCCTTCCTTACAACACTGCAACTCGGGGATATCTGGCAAAGCAATAGATGTCAGGACAAACCAAAGGAAATACTTCTTCACTCTAATTCACTGTCACAGAACATACATAATGAAGGCTATTACAACATGAGAATTCATAAACAATAAAGGTCCATCAACGATTACACAGAATCTCCATGTTCAGAGGAAGCAGCCTGCAGAATACCAGAGTGGGGGTGAGTAGGCAAACAGGGCTTGGTCTCAATGTCCTGTACTTCAGCCTTCCAGGGACTTCTCATTGGCTGTGTGAAAGACTGTTGACTACCCAGATCAGACCACTGTGTTGACCGTCTTGCAAACAAGGTCGTACCTTGAGCCAGGAATACCCACAGAAGTTACAGACTCGGTACGGGAGAAACCCAGGTCCTACTCAGCTTAAACTTATCTGGGGTAGAGCACGGCTATGCTGGATCAGTCAGGTTCTCTTTCCAATTAGGAAAGCATGACAGCTTATATTGCTGAGATATGTTTTTTTATTTTTACACTGCCTCTGAATATACCTTCAGTGGTGTAAAAGGGATTTCAGACTCACTGGATTTCAAACACAGATCAGTAACTCAAGAGGCAATACTCATATACAGATATAAAGCTTTTTATTGATTACCATACAAAATTGCCAGTTACATATATATAGTTATATGAAGTGGCAAGGTAACAGCTAGAGAACATGTTGTCTTTACAAATGCAAAGCTATTTTTTGTTTCCTTTTTATATTATTTTACAGGAGAATTTAGAACTAGCATACAACTCAAAGCTATATTAAGGTTAGTACTTTACCCCACACATTGGGAAATGTCTCATTTGTACACAATAGCATAACTTTTTTGCCCTTCATTTCATTCTTCCCCCTTCATCCCATAAAAACATCCATGCTCACACTTTTACTTTCTTCTACAAGACAAAAAAAATAAATATTGTTTTTTTATTTCATTTACAGGCCCACATTTTAAGTGTCTCAAGAAATTACAAACCAGTTATAAAATATTCTGGTCAGGTTTACAAATTAATTCCTATTTGTACAAAACTGTTAGATGACTAAAGACTAAGCACACAAATTAAATAACAAACTATGCATGTTTTGTACAGTTATAAACATACTTAACACTGTTTAACAGTTCTTAATCTGTTGTCCTTTTTACACAATTATATTCCAAGGCTCACTCATTCAGCTTACATATTATTACTCAGACATTTCATTTGAGAGTGTCTATTAGCAGCATCTCAGTGGTACCAGAAAACCTGCACATATATTTTAAACACACAAAACATTTTATTTATTAAGCATGGGGGGGGGGAACAGTAATGCTAACTGCTTGGGATAGGCAACTACTTAAAAGTGGCAACATTTTAAGACATATGAACACTATCGATTTTAGAAAAGACACATACTATACTAACAAAGAATTATAAATTAAGCTCAGTCCAGTACCAACAGGTAAATTGTGTGTGTTTTCCTTTGGGTGAAATGTCAGCTTTGTATCAGCTCCCAAAACTGGAAGCAGAGGCAACTATTCCACTGAAATAAACAGTGTGGCTAATAAGTGAAGGTTGGCATAAAATAACATCCTTTAGAGGAGAAAGCCCACAGTGCAACTGTAGTAGGCACTTAATACAAAGCCCCACTTTGTACCAGAAAACTTTACGTACCAGCTCCATTGCAAACCAGGGATGGCAAAACTGAACTGTGTGTCTTATTTTTTAAAAAGTCATTTCTTCACAAATAACTTTACACTTTCCGTTGCTATTTGAAGAGGAAGAAAGGGGGGGAAATAGAGTGAGCATCCTGGTCTAGCTAGGGGCTATATGCACGCAGAAGCCAATTTCTGCCCAGGTATCTCCAGCTAGATACAGTCATACATAAATAGCTGCTACTTCATTCCCCAGCCCAATCCAGTGGCCATTATCTTGGTGATTAACACTGAGATCTCGCCAACTGGCTTTTAGACAAATGATCAGGATCTGGGTTTATTCTTCACCTTCTCCCATCAAACAGCAGACTTACAAAAAAAAACCCACCCAAAACATCCATGTGCACTGTGTTGGATCAGAGCAATCTCTGTGTTTCACCCAGGATTGCCACAAATAATACATTTAAGGTATATTTCAAAGAAAAATGATGTCTCTTTCCATTCCAAGACAATAGGTATATTAGCTCAGAAAAAGAGCAGTGAGAACAGTTCAAACATTTCCAGCAAGGGCTGGAAGAAACCCATGTCACAACTTTTTGTATTTTGCAAAAAACAAAAACAAACCTGAAATCCTCACCCATCCTCATATTTGTTACAGTAGATACAACTGAAGATTTGAGACATGCACTCTTCACACAAGGCACGGCTTGAATATTAGGAAGAATTGCTTAATGCGACAAAACAGTTTATTCAGCCCTTCTTGCAGCTTTCAGTCATAGTAAGAAGTCAGACGGAAAGAATGATATATTCACTCCATTTGTGTGCATTTTTAAAAATAAGTTTGCCAGATCAGAAGTAACTGGGATTTGGGATTCAATTCGCTCAGACAAGGAGGCCTGCAAGGTCTGTGTTTGGACTATTCCTTTTAAACTTCTCAGCACTTTACACACTGTTCCTGAAATGGGGCCATGGTTAAGAGGCAAGGGGATAAGAAGAAACACGGAATGACAGCAGGTATTCTGGTGCCATTAGATTTTTTTTTTTAATGGAGAACAAGGAATAATCAGCTGTACAAAAATTCATCTACCAGTGCAGGAAATTTTTCCAAATCGTAGGCATCGAAGAGGTCACAGATGCCCTCCTCTTCACCAAGACTTAGCAAATAGTCATCATGAAGTAAGGGAGGCAGCAGGCTTACAAATGGCCCTTCAAAGTTTGAAGGAATTTGGTCCTCCGTCTGCTGCAGAAAGTTAGTTGGAGATGTTAACGGGGAGATGGCTGTTGTAGTAACTGA